AAAAATGCACGGCATCACCCTTCGTGCTTTTACTCTCAATCTCACCATAAAATTAATAGAAAAGACACGGCATCACCCTTCGTGCATTAACTCTCATATCATGGCATGGCATTACCCTTCGTGCATTAACACTCACAACATGGCACGTCATCACCCTTCGTGCATTAACACTCACAATATGGCACGACATCACCCTTCGTGCATTAACACTCACAATATGACACGACATCACCCTTCGTGCATTAACATTCTCCCTTACCATAATGCTATGCATAAATAATAACAGGGAGATAGAATTACAAGTACAAACCTTACTTCAATATTTGATTCTATAATATCAATCTCAACTTTGAAATAAAAACTCAATTATCACCAGAAAATCCGTAAACATGATAAGAACGATAAATTGAACAACACTAGTATAACACGTAGCAATTTGGCATAGGAATGAGACAATATAAGAAAAACAGAGAAACATGGAAAACAGGTAAATTGACGGCGCATAAGTACTCGTCACCTCACATATACGTCGCTCACATGAATTTCACTTAGCAAGTAATCTAAGGTTCCCAATTCCCTCAAGTCAGGGTTAGACACAATACTTACCTCGCTCTGAAGGCCACTTAATTCTCAATCACAGCTTTTTCTTTGGAATTCACCTCCAAACCACTCGTATCTATTCAAAAATGACTCAATAATATCAAATATTGCTAAAGGAATCAATTATATTGCATAAGTTAAATTTTTCAAATTTTTCTCCAAAAAGTCGAAAAATCGGCCTCGGGCCTGCTTGGTCAAAGCTCGAGGTTCGGACCAAAATCCTTTTACCCATTCACCTCCGAGTCCGAATATATAATTGGCTTTGGAATCCGACCTCAAATTGAGGTCTAAATACCTAAATTTCCGAAATCCCTAGTTTCTACCCCTAACCCCTAATTCTACCATGAAAACTCTAGATTTTAGGTTGAAAATTCAAAAAATGTAATGGGTAATTGAAAGAAAATGGTTTAGAATCACTTACCAACAATTTGGAAAAAAAATGGCTTTTGAAAAATCGCCTCTCACCGTTTGGTTTTTGAGAAAAATGAGTTTTTGGCTAAAATTTCGTTTTTGGATTCTGTTAAGTGCTGGGCGACAGTGTTCATCGCGTTTGCGAGAGCACTGTTGCGTTCGCGAAGGTACTGGCTGCCAAGCCTTCGCGTTCGCGAGACCTAGCTCACGTTCGCGATGGTTACTCTCCCCCGGCCTTCGCGTTCGCGAGGCATTGCTCGCGTTCGCGATGAAGGAACGGCTGACTCCCCCTCCCCAATGCCTAACACTACGCGTTCGCGATGGGCTTGTCGCGTTCGCGAAGGGCAACGCCCCCATCGCTTCGCGTTCGCGTCCAAGCCTTCGTGTTCGCGAAGAAGAAATCCCTGCCTCATCAGTTTACTCTTTGCGTTCGCGAGAGGACCTTCGTGAACGCGAAGAAGGACATGCCAGAACACCTGCTGCAGCAAAATATCAGATTTTTAAAGTCCAAAACATCCCGTGGCCTATTCGAAACTCACCCGAGCCCTCAGGGCTCCAAACCAAATATGCACACAAGTCTAAATAACACCTAGAACTCCGAATTTAGCACCAAATCGAATGAAATTCTCAAGAACACTTTAAAATTACTATTTTCTCAACCGAAGGTCCGAATCACGTCAAATCAACTCCCTTTCTCACCAATTTTCTCAGACATGTGTTAAATATCATAATGAACCTGTACCGGGCTCCGGAACTAAAATACGGATCCGGTACTAACAATGCCAAATATCAATCAATTCTTAAAAATAATTAATTTTCAGACTTTTAGTTTTCATCAAAAATTCATAACTTGAGCTAGGGACTTCCGAATTCGATTTCGGGCATACGCCCAGGTCCCATAATTCGATATGGACCCACCGGGACCGTCAAAACACGGATCCGGACCCGTTTACCAAAAATGTTGACCGAAGTCAACTAAAATCAACTTTTAAGGTAAAAATTCTTATTTTCATTAGTTTTCAACATAAAAGTTTTCCGGAAACCTGCCCGGACTGCGCACGCAAATCGAGGAGGGTAAAAATGAGATTTTTAAGACTTAAGAGCGCAGATTCGAGTTCTAAAACATAAAATGACCTTTTGGGTCATCACACTTATAATCATTCATAACTTGACGAGTTGTGAACATTTTAATTATTGAAATTAAATCAATTTTCAAACTAATAGCGAATCGTTGAGATAGCTATAAATTATCGGAAGCCAATTTGAACATAATATTGAATTACTTCGGCCTATAGGTGCACTAGCATTTTGAAACTGATTTGCGAAAATTGAGCAACTCCCTTGCACAAGTCATGCACTAAAATTTCCAATCAACGATGCTATAGTGAGGGTAGAAACAAGGAAATACATATATCATTTTACAGAGAAGATGAATCGCGCAACGAAGTGTTACTACACTTTGCCAAATTGGACTTCAACATATTGCAGAGGTTGCATAAAAAGGGGTTATGTGATATCACAAGGTAACTCGCAACCTAGACATTCACCTATGCACTTAATCTTGCAATATCGAAGTTCAGTTTTCCCAAATAAATTTTATTTCTTTTTACAACTTCCAAATATATACTCTGTTCCAACTTCAAATTTAACTGTTCCTTTTTCGAATTTCAACCAAATATTGTCCAAACGCCTACTAAAGTAACACAAAATTTGTTGTTATAAATTGACATTTTAGGTGGTGGAAAGAATTGGAAATCGGGAAGGCATTACTTGTGGTTGAGTTATACTTGTGGAGTTTTAGTGCAAACCCTTGAATATTTATTTTGCCTCTTATTTAATTATATTTGTTTATTTGTATTGTGGATGAAGATAGAACTGGAAAGAGGAGATGTAGCTTCTGGTATCGAATGCTACATGAATGAATATGGTGTCACAACGGAAGCAGCACGCATGGAAATTAGGAAAATAATAGAGAATAATTGGAAGGATTTGAATCAAGAATACCTCAAACCCACACTCGTCATACCAAAGGTTTTGCTCATGCCTGTGATCAATTTTACAAGGGTGGCGGAGTTCTTTTATGAAGATGAAGATGCTTATACTTTTTCCAAGAATAACTTAAAGGACGTCGTCTCTTATGGTGCTAATTATTGATCCTATTATAGCCTGAGAATTTCTAAAAGAAGGAGGTATTACAAGAAAAGTAAAATTGCATTTCTCGAATGCGTATATTTGGGATAAACTAATTAAGGCCGTTTAGTACCCTATATATTACACTAGACATAAGTTTCCCGTAGTGATTTAATCGTCAGGTGTGTTTGGTTACCATATTTGGTACTATGTTAAGAGTACCCACTACCCACATTAACTATGTGGTAATACAATTCCCGTATTATTTTTGTAAGGAATTCAATAAATGTATTAGTCATATAATATTAAGAAGTTGATGTAAAATGTGTTGTATTTAAATTGTATATGACAATTTGGCGATCAACAGTTATAAAATACTGCATTTGGAAACATATTTTTATATTTTTCTCTACTGACACTATGAGTGTATCCATGCTCTTTGCCACAACAACGTCCAAGGTATCAAAGCTATCAAACTGCCAAGTTCTGGGGTACTTAGGACCAAAAATAGTTCAAGCGTACAATCTAATAAACTATGCCAAGCTTAGGGGTAAGGAGATATTACGCTTGATTGTATTGATCACCTTTGCAATTTCTTAACTTTGTCACTTTTTTGTTTCTTGGCTAGCTCAGACGAGTTTATATCATAAGTTTCATAAGTCTTTGAATATTCACTGTCTAACGCTTTCTTATGCCTATCGGAATTTGATGAACGCTTTGTATGTCTCTCACTGAAAGCCGAAGCTTAACAGCTAGTAATTTATTTGCAATTTCTCCAATTTATTTTAAGATTATTTTCCACTTTTCTGATACACTGTCTTTTTTTCCATAACAAAACCCCTGATCCTCCATTCCAAAATAATTACATAAGAGCATACAAGAATTTATCTAGGAAATAATGGAGAAACCATCTCTTACAATACAATTGCATCTCTAAACTATATGCGGGAATATTCCTATTGGACTTCTAACAGAGTACCTATCAGAAGACCATGTTATGTATCCCTGGGAATCTGCTATAAGAGGTGAAGGCTTAACTGTTACATTATACGACGCCTTCTGGTTTAAGGCTGAAAACTTCAAGGTGGTTGGATTAACAGTCACCTCAACACCATCAAGTCCAAATACTTTAACTGTGTAAGTTGAATTAGCTTCACCAACATTAGTCACAGTCCTTGTATATGTTTGATCCCCTGATTTCAAAGGAATAGAAAATGAAGGATAGTTCAACTCCGATTCAGGTATGCTCGACGTACAATGTACCTTCCTTTTCACAATAACGCTAACTTGTTGATCTGTATAATTCAAGCCACATAAGTAGGGCACATAATCTTCGGGCTGAATGTCATAAATGAGTCCTGGATCATTTGCTCTTGATGGGTTCACGTGCCCAGATCCGGTTGCAAGTAGATTAGCAGGTTTAAATCTTTCATCCTGAATCGGATCATTTCCAAGGTTGACGAAATCAGCGGTGGTCATGATTGCAGATTTAATTGCAGCTGGAGACCAATCGGGATGTGTACTCTTTAACAATGCTGCTACTCCGGCAAGGTGAGGACAAGCCATCGACGTGCCAGAGAGAATGTTAAATATCGATGTAGCAGATGTTATCTCCCCTACAGAGGTTCGCCACGCTGCAAGGATATTTACTCCAGGGCCAATAATATCAGGCTTTAGTATGCCAAAGCTAAATGGTCCCCTAGAAGAGAAGTCAGCAACTGCTGGCGCGTGCTTATCTCCAATTCTTGTTCCTTTGAATGATATTGTTGCAACTGGGGCTGTTGTTGATTTCATATAATTTAAGATCTTTTCTCCATCAGCATAACTAACATGTGTTGCAGGAAGGACATGAACATCTGCAATTGTTGTATAGCCACGCCATTCGTTGTTCATGAGAATCATGGCAGCACCACCTGCATCTTTCACATTTTGTCCGTATTGAACTGCCGAGTAACCGGTGTTGCTTCTCTCACACAACACTATTTTACCCTTGACATCAATTGTGGACAAAAATTCACAATATTCAGGATTAACAAGTGGCAGTAGCTTTTGTGAAAAATTTGATGGTTGATAGACTGATTCTCCCCCATATTCTGCTCCATTACCCAAAACTGCTACCGCGCTTATCTTTCTATCTGTTGTGCTAGCACCAACAGTTAGCAACCAGGGGGCTCCATTCGTTACAGAACCATTAACCGGTCCTGTATTTCCTGCCGAGGCACTTACAAAAATCCCCTTCTCAATCGCACTATACGAACCAATTGCTACAACATCATCATATAAAGACATAGAAGCTAATGATCCAAGGGAAATCGAGATCACATCCACACCATCTTCAATGGCAGCATCAAGACCAGCTAAGATATCGGATTCTTGACATTTTGAAGCACAAACTCTGTACATGGCCACATGAGCACGGGGCGCAATGCCAGCAGCAGTGCCTTTAGCATTAACAAGCAAATTGGCACCCTCCACAAAGTTTCCCGCGGCTGTGCTTGAAGTGTGTGTCCCGTGTCCATCGTCGTCCACAGGTGACGTAGCATTTTGGGCAAAATTTCGAGCTCCAATAAGCTTGTTGTTACAGACTGTGAGATTGAACTCACATTTGCCTTTCCATTTGGAAGGGGGAGGAGGCATTCCGTTGTCATTGAACGAAGGATGTTGTGGAGTTATTCCAGTATCTATTACACCAATAATCACACCTTTACCAGAATTAGAGACATTCCACAAGCCAACATTCTGGTGCAAGCCAAGAAAATCTGGACTGTGTGTGGTATGCAACTGCAGTACATTTTGGCGACGCGCAGATACAAATCCTGGTTTCTTTTCTATCATCTTCACTTCATCTGATGACAACACAGCAGCAAATCCGTTAAACACATGACGATAGGAATGTATAATGCGCGACGAGTGCTCAGAATTTGTTGAAGTTGTAGGCAAAAATGACTGATGCCAGCGATATAAATCTTTTGAATCAGAGAAAACTAGATCATCACGAAACTCAAGAAGTACTATATAAGTATCTATATCGCTTTGATTGGTAAAATGGTCACCAAATGTTTTTGATGAAAGAAGCAAGGCAATGCAAAGAAAGGTTAAAACGAGTTTCAGATCCATGTTGTTTTTTGGTGATAAACACATTTAGGCAAAATGTGAATATATAATGCTTGTTTGATGCTGCTCGATTTAGTATGTAATCATTTGGTTACGTATCTTTTTATGGATGTTCCAAATTTGGATCAATTAGATTACCTTATAAACTGAGATTAGTATAAACATATCAGTTTTTTTTATCCACACATAAAGTATAATCATGATTGACCATATCTTTTATGGTCAGCAATTCAATTTTCTGCCAAATATACCTATTTGCCTATTCAAATAGTTGCTTGATTTGGAAAAAGAATCATTCTAATGGTAATCCATAATTAATAAGTTGGCTGAACAGTCACAGAAATAAGAACAATATACTAATTATTATAAAGAAAGGAAATCCTATGAATTCTTAGAAAGTTATTAATTTAATACTTTGAAATTTTGTTTACTTGAACTTACAATCTTTAATCTTCGTTATGGGTATCCTAACAAATGTCAATAATCTCAATTTTTTAAATTTTCTTTTACAGTCCTTTGGACCCTTTTAATTTTTATTGTGACCCTTCACCTCGTTGTAGCTTGAAACTGCCTTCCACAAAAATAAATAAATCAGATCTTTCTTTAATTAATTTTTTTTTGCTTTTTATTTATAACATTCAATTTAGAAAATAAATCAAAGAGCAATAGTCACAATAAGAAACTAACTATTTGTCCTGATATAGAAGTGTAGCAATGTAACATATGAAACAAAAAAACAAATTATGAGCCATTTAACAATAGTCACACATTACTCTTTCAAGGGGAGGTGCCTTGATGTATGTTATTTGCATATGATATTGTATTGATTGACGAGATGCGAGACGGTATAAACGCGAAACTAGAAGTCTGGAGACAGACCCTGAAGTCTAAAAGTTTCAAGTTGAGTAGGACCATGATAGAATACTCAGAGTGCAAGTTTAGTGATGGAATCGATAAAGAGGACGTGGACGTGAGGCTTGATACACAAGTCATTCCTATGAGGGATAGTTTCAAGTTCCTTGAATCTATTATCCAAGGAAATGGGAAGATTGATGGGGATGTTACACATCATATCGGAGCAAAGCGGGTAAAATGGAGACTCGCACCTAGTGTATTGTGTGATAAGAACGTACCACCTAAACTTAAAGGTAAGTTCAACATAGTGGTTGTTAACCATGTCTAGAAGATGAGAGTAGCAGAAATGAGGATATTGAAATGATATGCGGGCATACCATGATGGATAAGATTAAGAATGAAGATATTCGGGCCTGGGTAGGAATGGCTTTGGTGGAGGACAAGATGCGAAAAATGAGGCTTAGGTGGTTTGGGCAAGTGAAAAGGAGGAGCGCAGATGCCCCTTTGAGGAGGTGCGAGAAGTTGGCCCTAGTGGGTTTGAGGAGAGGCAGAGGTAGGCCAGAGAAGTATTGGGGAGAGGTGATCAGACAAGATATAGCACTACTTTAGCTTACTGAGGACATGACCCTTGATAGGAAGGCGTGGAGGCTAAGAATTAAGATAAAAGGCTAATAGGGAGTCGAGAGTGTTTCTTTCATATGCCAGTAGTATTAGTGTTCGTCTGGTGCGACATTATTGTTAGATTTTTAGTTTTACGTGTTGTCCCCTTTGCTTCTTTTTTTATTATTTTATTGTTGTTAATGCTTGTGCTACTGCTTTATTTTCATCTTGCCTTGAGCCGAGGGTCTATCGAAAGAGCCTCTCTTCCTTCCAAGTAGGGGTAAGGTATGCGTACACACTACCCTCCCCAGACCCCACTTGTGGGATTATACTGGGTTTATTATTGTTGTTATTGTTTACTTAGCTCCCGTTTTGCTTCCACTCACAAAACTTCAACTTTCTTTTCAAGTAAAATGCATGTCCAAACACAACTTTAAATTTTAAAAAATATTTTTCAGTACAACTTCAAAAACTGCTTTTTTTAAGTTTCAATCAAATATATGTCCAAATACTAGGTTATTTTTAACTGAAGAAATGGTGCACGCTATCAAGCTAGTTAAATGAGGTGATGGATAAGAAATAGGGGTGTCAATGGTTCAATTCGATCTGTTATTTTATAAAATTTACACTATACTAATTTTTCGGTTATTCTATTTTGTATAACTAAAATTAAGTTTTTCAAACCTATCTCAATCATCTCGGTTTATCTATGGTACCAGTATGATTTGGTTAATTTATGATATATTTTTTAAACATCGTGTAAAGTCACTAGTAAAAGTTGAGAGTGTGATAACATGCATACTTGCATATGCTTTAGACAAAATTCTCTAAATATGTTTACCGTTAAAATGTGATGAATCAAGAGAATATATGAAAAATTACAAGAATGAGATTCATTCTCACTATTATACAATAACATAAAATAATTTAAGCAAAGACAAAAAATATATAATTCACATGAGTGAAAAGATATTAAGTTGAGATTCAAGAATAGATCCTATTTAGAAGATTAAGCATCCAATATGAGAAATTTAAATCGTGCGAGAAATAATATATCAAATACCTTGTGGCTTACTACTCAAGATACTGGAACTAATTTAGTTTCAATTGAAGTAGCAGAATATGTTTGGATGTCACGATCCAAAATCCATATTAGATCGTGATGACACCTAACGCCGTTGTTAGGCAAGCCCACCAGTGAAACTACAATTTAATTACCCCTTTTTAACATTTAAAACAAAAGTTCCTTTTTATAAGAACAAAATAAGTAAAATCTCATGCAACCGTACGTACTCTTTTCTCAACAAAAATACCAGCATGATAAGTACACTTACTGTAATGACAGTAATAATAAGTACATCAGTACGTATATGCTAAAAATTCCCAAAATCGGGTGCCACAAGTGCATGAGCAATCTAGAGAATATACAAAACTAATTTAACTACTGTCTGAAATGTAAAAGACAGAAATAATAAACAAGGTAGAGGGAGACTCCGGTGCTCCAGATCATAGTGAGGCAACCAGCTCACCACTAAGTCTCCGTAGAAAATCGGCTACGCGCCTGCGTGACCACTGGTAGTACCTGTCTCAGTACCTGCACATTCAGTGCAGAAGTGTAGCGTGAGTACAGAGAACAAGACGTACTCAGTAAGTATCTAGTCTAACCTCAAAGAAGTAGTGACAAGGGGTCGAGGGGCTGAGTTGACACTTATTATAGGTCAAACAATAATGAAAATACACAAAGTAGACATGGTGAGTGTACAACAAGTAGTAACGAAGCAATTAAAAGTAACTACAGTAAGTCCACACATGAGTCTATATCAAATCACTAAACACGTCATAATCGACCTTGAAGGCGCTAACTCAATAGTTACCAAACCAAATCCAGATCCAATTATTAAGCACGAAGCTGCCGAGGCGAATGGCCCGATACAATATGAATAGTGATACTCAGTACTGCTGAGGCGAACAACCCGATCCCATAAGAACAATGTTACCAACCTACCGAAGCGAACGACCCGATCCCATAAGAGTAGTGTTATCATATTGCCGAGGCGAACGGTCCGATCCCATAAGAGTAATTTATTTCACAGCCAAGGCGGACGACCCAATCCCATAAGAGTAGAGAAATTTACCTTGCTTGCAGAAGCACGTGCGAGACGAGAAGACACGAATGTATAGTTTATCAAATATTTCCAAACTTTACCAAAGTAGAGGCTAAGCCGATATCTTTATTACAAACCTCGATCTCAGTCAAAATCAAGAAAGTTAATACACAGGATAGGCATAATAACACAATTAAAGGCATGTTGTGAATCTAAGTCTACCCGAACATATCATGAATGTAGCTACATACGGACTCTCGTCACCTCGTGCGTACATAGCTCCCCACAACAAGTAGCACACAAAAATTAATACACCTAAGGGGATAAGTTCCCTCTTACAAGGTTAGACGAGAGACTTACCTCAGTTTCAAGTCCTCAATCTGGCTCCTCAACCTCACTAGAACTCCAAACAATGCGGAGGACTCTGAAACTAACAAAAAACGTATAAACTAATAAATATATGCTCAAAAGTTCATAATTTAGCTATTAGAGTAATTATCCAATCCAATTTGGAAGATTCCTAAAATTTACCCCGGGCCCACGTGCTCGGATTCCGAAAATTTTTGAATATAAATGTTAATCATGACCTCACAAACTCAAATATATAATTTATTCCCAATTACATAATCAATTTTGTGGTCAAATCTTAATTTTACCAAACCCTAGTTCCAAAACAATCTCACAATTTTCCCTTAATTTCATGTTAAATCTAACCATAATCCGTGTATTTAACTTAAGTATTGATAGGGATCACTTACCTCTTGATGTTGATGAAAATCCCCCAAAAATGCTCTTAAAATCGCCAAAGACCAAGTGTAAAATGAGGGAAAAGAGGCTAAGTCCCGTAATAAAAGCCCTTGCACCAGTCTCAGATGTCGTATTTGCGACATCAGGTTCGCAAATATGACAATGGCATCGCAAAAGCAAAGCCTGACCAGCTCTTCCTAAGTTGCAAATGCGACAAAAAGTTCGCATATGCGAAGCTGGGCACCTTGCTAAAGCGAAAAAAAAGATCGCAAATGCGATAAATTCCTTTGCAACTACGAACCCAACAGTGCCACCCCAATCTTGCAAATGCCCAGCCCTCCTGGAAAATGCGAGGTTCGCAAATGAAAACAAAATCTCGCATTTGTGAGACCTAAAGCACCAGACCAAAACCAGCAAAACTGAAGTTCTTCCAAACACTCTGAACCGCGTTCGAAACTCACCCGAGCCCCCGGGGCTCCACACCAAACATCCACACAAGTCTAAAAATAACATACGAACTCGTCGCGCGATCAAAACACCAAAATAACATCTAGAATCACGAGTCGGACCCCAAAAAGCATGAATTCAACATAAAACTCAAGAACTTCTAAAAATATTTCTCCGCGTCTGATTTCTATGAAATCAACTCGGAATGTTGTCAAATTTTGCGTACAAGTCATAAATCACCATACTGTA